GTGCTCATCAATATTAACCAAACCAAAATGATTTTATCGGGAAAAAATAGTTGTGTTGTATTTTTCATCAACAGACAGACCGAGTCACATGTACACAGCTAAGCGCCGTATTATGTCGCTTCACTTGGACTTATAATGACTAGAGATTTATGTGCTCATCAATATTAACCAACAAAAATGATTTGTATGAAAAAATAAGTGTGTTGTATTTTTTATCAAAGACAGACCGAGTCACATGACTTAGGCCCACAGACTAGACTCCGCTCACGCAGTATGTCTATTGACTTGGACTTATAAATGACTGGAGATTCATGTGCCCATCAATATTAACCAACAAAAATGATTTTTATGGAAAAAATAATTGTGTTGTATTTTATATCAACGACAGACCGAGGACTCGGTCTGTCTTTGATAAAAAATACAACACCCCTATTTTTTCCATACAAATCATTTTTGTTGGTCAATATTGATGAGCACATAAATCTCCCGTCATTTTTAAATCCAAGTCAATAGACATACTGCGTGAGCTCTCTCATGTGGGATGATCTGTTGTTGATAAAAAATACAACACCATGATTTTTTATTCAAAAATCACTGTTGTTGGCTAATATTGATGAGAACATAAATCTCTAGTCAATTATAAGACCAAGTCAATGGATATAATACGTGCGCTGTGTCTAGTCTGTGGGCCTAAGTCATGTGACTAGGTCTGTCTTTGATAAAAAGTACAACACAACTATTTTTTCCATAAAAATCATTTTTGTTGGCTAATATTAATGAGCACATAAATCTCTAGTCAATTATAAGTCCAAGTCAATGGACATAATCCGTGCACTGTGTCTAGTCTGTGGGCCTAAGTCATGTGACTCGGTGTGTCGTTGATAAAAAATATGTTGAAATATAGCGCCCTACGCCAGTCTCCCTCTTTACCGACAGTGTGGCATACTGTGTCGCCACGGCGCCGTTGCGCCTCTCAATGATATACTCGTACTATGCACCACTTGTGCCTCGACCGTTGTCGCGTTACGTTGCTGAATAAAGCTTAATTACTTTGACGATTATAAAACTGTGTTTAATCATTATTTCTATCCCTAATAACCCTTCAGGTTATGGGCCGAGCACACTTCAACTGTGCGTGATTAAAATTTATCATAAATAAAAGGATTGGAAGCGATAAATCGGAAATTCTAAAAAGGACGCTATCGGGCGGCCGGGCACGTGTCCGTGTGGATCATACGCGTTCGTGCAAATCACAAGGAACATCCAAAAGAGAAAAATATCGAGGCGAGCTGGGGAGTGACTTCAGAAGGAAAGGAAAATGGAAAATAATAACAGGAAAAGTAAGTACTGAAAAATACATCTAATAAGTGCAGTGAATTGACGAGACCGAGAGATAGAGGGGATCAAAATGGCGGTTGGAAATTAATTATCCACGACGCCGACCCGAAATCGAGAATTTTAGATTAAAAAGTGTGGAGGTGAGCAGGTTATTAAATGACAACTCCAGAGATCCAACGTTGAGCGAAATATATTTGAGTTTTTACAAGAGGGGAGAGTTAGTCGTAAGAAGACTTGTCCTCTCTGTTGATGTGTTGTCCAGTGGTTGAGCGATGAGTGAATGTCGAGTGAATGATTGACTGATGATGAGTGTGGAAAGTGTGCGGTATTTAAGGAGAGTGCAAGGATGTGATTGGTGGAAAATTTGGAGAAGGGATGAGTAAAATCCTGGCTTCCGATTGGTTCGGCGCTGTAAGTTCCCGCCGGTGAGCTGTGATTGGCTCGGGGGTCCCGGCGGGGAAATTTCCGTCGTGACGTCACGGGCGCCAGTCAGGCGGACGAGGGATTATGGACGTCAGGTGATGATGAGGGATTAGGACGCATGGAGGATTATGGCAATAAACGGGTCATGAGGTTTGTGATATGGAAATGGATTTTTAATGTGGGAATTGGCCCAATGTCTCGACAGGAAAATTGGGGAATTGGCCCAATGTCTAAAGAGGAAAATTGAGTGTGTATGTGTGTGCGTGTCTGAATGACAGAGATGTAGTGGAGACACAGTCACCACAAAAGAATTAATAAAGAAATCTCATTAAATTCACAAAAATCACTGAAAAGCGTAAAATATCTTTTGTCATAAATAAAATCAAATTTAAAGCAAAACAAAAGAAGAAAGCCAAGTGACGCCGAGACAATAGTTTCTTGGCGGGGAAGGCAAGCACAGGCTTCAACAGGCTTCAACAAATAGACGCAACGGGTGGGTTGCGCGTGCAACCGGGGTGCGTCTGAGAGAGAGGGACGACTGCAGTCCCACACACATTGCTCGAGCAAGGCGAGAACAATAAGAAATAGAAAGAAAAATAAAAATTAGTGTGTATATATAAAAATTGGTGTGAAAAACAAAAATCCTCTCTTTCTCGGCCGCGTTCCGCGTATGTGCGGGGTCCACCAGCGTAATGTAAAGTAATAAAATAAAATCAACTGACACTAGTGCAAAATTGAAATTCATGAATTAAGGATGCATCAAAATCGAAATATTTAATAGGCAAGAATATTGAATCTAGAAGTATTTGATAAGCGAGAATAACAAATTAAATATTTGACGGGTCGAACCAAAGAAATTGAATTTTTAGAAATTGCCATCTTCAGACGAAGATATTTATAAATTAAAATTACAGCTGATAAGGAACTCTTGCATGAAGTGTAGAGACTCCTGATCAGACAACATTTAATCGAAGGAAACCACGAGGGAGAACTAGTCTCCCTGGCAATAGTAGACGATAAAGTGTATGTTCTACCAGACAAAGGAACAGGATATGTAACAGGTGAGACATCAGGCATACGTGTTAATGGGCGAGCATACTATACACATTAGAAACGCGGAATATTAAGACGTCAAATTGCTTGAGAAAATTAAATCAATCTCTTGCAATCATAAAAGACTTGAGTGTGTTTGGAGGAGGTCTTATGTTTAGATTTTCTGAAGAGCACACTCATCCTGGATTCGGTTTGTTTATGTTTAGCAAGTCGAGTCTGGGATTTCGGACCTGAATACAAAAACTGTAACCAGATACAATAATCCTCAATTTTTCGGTCTCTTTAAAATTAGATAAAAGAGAATTCACAGGGGATCAATGGAGATGTCTAACTGTGTTAGAAGCTGCATTGTTGGCCGAAAATAAGCCAATGTATCTACCAGGTTACGGTCCGAAGAGTCCAATGTCAACAACAGCTGTAATCGAGTATAGGTCAAGGAACATGAACAAAGACTTGGGAAACACGGAGGCGAGGGCCACAGGCGAGTCCAAGTCAAGCAAATTGACTGGAGGCGAGACGAATGGCGGCGAGATAAGTGCAGGCGGGAAAAACACAGGTAATATTAATGTTGACAAAACTGACCAAATCAAACCGAAACCCAAGATTACAGCAGACAATAAAGTAAATATTAAATTGAAATTGATAAAATCTAATCTAGATGATGAAACAGTTGAGCCTAACGGCAACAAGACTGTCAAGACAGTTTCTGTAGACATACAGCTGGCTGAGCTGAAGAGCATGGTGGAAAAATTGTGCAACTCAAATATAACTTCAACAAAGGCACTGTATGAAAGTTTAACAGAGAACAGAAACCAGTTGAGACTAAATGCTGAGGCGAGAGCAAAAGATAAAAAGGAAGTACAGGAGCTGTTGAGTGCCCTGGACAAAAAGCACAACGATAAAATAGAAGAAGTAAAAAGAACTTTCAATGAATATCGCACTAATGTCGAATCATCAATTAAGGTAACAACAAACAAGAAAAAATTAGACGGAGGAGTGGCGTCAAATGAGCATACGAATCTAGAAAATCAAATTAGTTCAATAGTCAATAAGCAGATTAATGAAATTAATCAGACAAAGTCAAGTCAAGGAAACAATCAAAATCCGTTGAAACAATTAACTAGCGAGGTAACAAATAAATTACAAATAGAATTGCTTAACAAAGGAATGAGCTTTAAAAGAGATTATAAAATGGACAGCAAAATGAAGTATGAACATTTCTATGATTATTTTTCGTCAGAAATCAAAACGAATAAACTCTTACACATCATTGACGATAGCATTCTGGTTACTGTGGATGAGGAAACTCTTGCAGAACAGAAGCATAAAGTTAGAGAAATTCTGATAAACCATTTGGATAGAAGTTATCACCCTAAAATCGTCAAACTACAAGATCCAAAAGAAATATTGAAAAAATTAAAAGAATTGAAAATGGCCGAGTTTACTGTAACTTCACACTCGGTGAGACAAGACCTGTATAATATGAGATACAATCCAACCAAAATGACAGCTGGCGAGTTTAATGATTTGTTTGATGAGAAAATTGCAACGTATGAAAATGCTCCTGACACCATTCCTCTGAGTGAAAGCGAAGAGAAAGATGCATTTCACAATGCAGTAAAAAAAGCTTTTCCTAATATTAAAATCATTGAAAAAGTAACAAAGAAAGCTATAGGAGCGGGCTTGACGTTTGGCGACTTGAAAATTGCGATATTAGAAGAAGAAGCTACGACGAAAAGTGAGCTCTTAGATTCAGATCTTAAAACTGCTAATTTTGCACAGCACAAGGGGCCGAGGTGTTTTGCCTGTCAGGCGTATGGGCACAAAGGACCAGACTGTCCCAATAAAGGGAAAGGATACTTGTGCTACAAGTGCAATCAATTTGGGAATCACAAGGCGAGTGATTGCCCAAACATCATTAACAATGACAATGCACCAAGTGGTCCGGGAAACTCTGAACAGACTCCAAGGTACAATTCCAATTTTAAATTTAACTATCGAAACGATTATCACGATCAATATAGAGGTAATGGTAGAGGAATTAAAAGACCAATGAGAGGTGAAACATATGGTCCAATTAAAAGAGGAAGATTTAATAAGAGTAGGTTCTCCTATAAGAGAAGTGAGAACAAACATGGGTTTAAGTCATCTCACAAATCAATCAAGAAATCTAATCCCGACAAAACTACAGAGAAAAATAATTCCAATCAAGGTAAGGAAAAAAAAAATTATGATCAATCAACTACTGAAATATTTTATGCAGATAGTAAATAAACAAATGGAAATAAGTTTTTGACAGACTTCCTAGCAGACTCAGGCGCGACCGAGCATTTAACAAATTCCAGAATTATATTTAAAACTTTTAAC